GACTTTATCAAGGAAAATGGAAAAAATTTATTTTGTAACATGGATATATTAACAGAAGTAAAAAAATATCGTTAATTTAAAAAATATATATTTAAGAACGTTCTACGAAAATTCTTCAAACTAATTTTTGCAGAAATTGATGCAAAGTTGTTTACATTTTTGCATGCGTGCGTCGTGAGTTTGGCATCTTTCTTACGTACTTTAAAGACCTGCGCGGTCACAGCATAATTAATTGAGTGTCACTCTGCCCCAGAGTTCAGTGCTTTTGTCCAACATTTGACATGAATGATTGAGAAGTTAAACAATCCTCTGAACCGGATGCTTCAGCAGTATAGACCAGTTTGAAAGGTAGGAACCCTAACAGCAAATTAACAATGTTTATTTAAGTACACCCTCACACAAACGCATACCGTAAACGCATACACTCTCTCTTTGTCTTTCTTTTGCTGTTTACCTATAGATTGGCTCAATGGGCCAAATGGTAACAGTTTTAAACCAGGTGCAGTAAAAGGCGGTTGTATCCAGGAAAATGTACAATTCTGAAGGGAATAATACCAGACGAAGTAAACAAACTTTCTAAGAAATTGGCGTCGCAGTCTTCGAAGCTATCAGAGTATTTGCGTGCTTGCAAAATGCAAAACACACTACTGGTATCAATTTTGATCCCTTCTTTCTTTCTTTCTTTCTTTCTTTCTTTCTTTCTTTCGCAATTTAGGTTCCTTCCTTCCTTCCTTTCTTCCTTCCTTTCTTTCTGCCTATGGCACGTTTAGATTGATTGATTTCTTCTTTCTTTCTTTTAATCTGCTATGGCGCATTTAGATTTCTTTCTTTCTTTCTTTTAGTCTGCTATGGCACATTTAGATTTCTTACTATGGCATATTTAAATTTCTTTCTTTCTTGTTTTAAATTTCTTTTCCTCCCCAAATACAACAACAGCAGTCTGAATGATTTCGTCTTTCCTTTCAAAAGACACACCTCTTCATTCCACCTCTATCCATGTTGTCTTGTGCCGTTCTCCAGCTATCAACCCATTTTTGTTACAGTAAGCATCTTTACAAATTCAACCAATAAACGAAAGCCGGTAACTAGAGACCTGCTTTCCAAACTGCATTCAAATAAACAACACCCCAAAACAACTTCCTTGAAAATAGCTAAAGAAGTGGCTGAAAGCGCTTGAGACAATGGTCAATACTGATAACTTTTGAACTCCCTTACTAACACCAAATGAAAAAATGTAAATAAATATTTTTCGAACCTGTGCGTCTCCACGATTTTTCAGGAGGAACAACCGTCTGTTCCGGTGTGTTTTAACCGCTCAGCCACGAAGAGCTTTACAATCAAGCAAGGATCTATTTTGCAAGTTTTCTCGAATATTCAGGTCGGTAGACGAAATAAATACTGTTTAAAATAAACGAAGCGTCTGGTCAAATATGGATATCCACTAAAAAATAACGTTTAAAGTGATAAAAAATATGTCGAATTAATAAATAAAATTCCATTAATTCTTCTAAAAATATCCATTAATGCTTTCGAAATTGATTTGTTTATGTTTCGGAAACGAAAGGGAACAGATATGTATATCTGAACGAGTGAGTGAGCTTTAAGGGCAAATAGAACCTTGCTAGATTGTTAAGCTCTTCGAAGCGTAGCGGATAAAGCCCGCCAGATAAGACGGAACCGCTTATCCGGCGTTTCTTTCTACTGAGGGAGACACAGGTTCGAATTGGGGTGGAGGGTACGCCGGTAAACAAAACAAAAAAATACTGTCTAAAATAATGAGAGAGAGAGAGAGAGAGAGAGAGAGAGAGAGAGAGAGAGAGACAGACAGACAGACAGACAGACAGACAGAGACAGACACAGACACACATGTTGAAAACCCCCCACAAATCTTTGTTGTTGAATGCAATCCATAATAATATACAAGTTCATTTTTCTTTTATGAAAGTATTATGCAAATATATCGTGTATGGATTGAAAATCAAGCATTCTCTAAGTGTTTAAATTGGATTTTAAAATGTATTTTTCTTGCTATTTCAAGGTGGATCATGGGAAACGCTGTGAAGCGATACCTGAATTCGGATTTCCTCGTGTTCGTACGGACCGGAGACCGAAAGCATGCGTCGACCGATGCCAACGTAAAAATCGTCCTAATCAATGAACAGGGTCAGCGATCAAGGGAGATCACTCTGGACAACTTGTTGCGGGATGATTTCAAAACGGGGGCCAGTGATACATTCGCTGTGCGTAACTTGCGTGATTTTGGTCGAATCGAGAAGATTGAGTTTTGGCGAGACAACGCTGGTGTCTCGCCCGATTGGTTCGTGATGAAAATTATGGTAGAAAATGTCAAAACGAATGAAATGAGTATATTTCCCGTGTTCCGTTGGATCAAGGCTAATTACCACTACAAGATCTGTCACCTGGACACCATATTGCCACAGTTCGATCAACACACTGAACAGCGAAAAATGGAGTTGGATGAGAAAAGGAAGATCTATGTTGGGGAGCAGAAAGGCCCGGGCCTTCCGATGATGGTGAGTTTCGGCAATTTCATACGAAAAAGATTTATTTTCATAGATTTTTCGGTTAATTTGCAGTTTAGCACCCGCGCTCAGCTTGCATAAAAATTTCCAGAATACTTGCATTTATGTGTAATTGTACATGCTTCATTCGAATCTGGTTTAATAAATTTGATAAAATCTACCGTTTTGGAGTTATCGACAGTAAATGTTCGGATTCATTCATGTCGTTGGCGGCAGCCATTACTGGCGTTGTTTGCATACACTCGCTTCGGAAAGCTAAGCGCAGAAAAATGTAGTTAACGACTTTTTTTTTACTGATCTTACTCGTTTCAACTTGTCTCAATTACTGCGCAAGAGGACTATATTGTATGCGCAAGAATCAAAACAATTTAATATTCCAATCATAGCTAGCTATTTTGTATCATTATGCCTACTCAGAAGTTAGCAAAATATGTATTTCTAAATGACACATAGAACCAATACACATATCTTCAAGCTCGTACTTTTGGTGGATCTTACACTTCACTATGTAATATTGGTTAGTGTTAGTTATATCGTCTTATGTGTGCATTTATTATATTGTCTTGTGTACGCATTAATTACGCCGTTACTATTATATTTTTCCTTCATTTAAAATGATTTTTCAGAAAATTTAATTTCTTCCACAATGTGATTTTGGATCTGTTTTTATATATGTGTCTCAAAAGTATTGTGGCAAGTTCAGCAGACATCTTTGACGCCACTACATGTACAATAACCAACTAACGTATCTACAGCGCTAAAATAATATTTTCTAATTAAAAGTGACGAATTGAACGCGCCATATACAGTGTCAAAAATTCGGTGGGTAATGATCCCATTGTGGAAACAACTGGCATTAATAGGTTATAGATAGAAATCGATAATTGATACTGGATTTTTATTGATCTATGATTAATACTAGATTTTTTAATACTGTATTTTTATTCGAAACCTATAATTATTACCGGATTTTATTTTAATTTTTATGATTAATACCCGCCTTCATACGGGTAGAAAATGAATTGAGTATCTATACAAGGGTAGAAATGGGCGTGAGCATTATTTACATGTCAAATAGTTTACTCGCTGTTACCCATCTAATTCTCTTGCTTTCTGTAAGTTTTCTGAGTGTTAAATCTCTAAGCCCTCTTTCCTCATTATATCCCAGAATTTTCAGCTGTTTCTTTCAGAGATTATTTGCAATTCCTATTTTCTTTAAAACTTCCTCTTTGTTCATATGTTCTGTTCATGTTATTCTCAGCAGAATAGAGATAGAAGAACATTTCTGTATTTTCAAGTTTCTTCTTCATCTATGAAGAGATCGTACAGCATTCAATGCCATACTGGAGTTAAGATACTAAATGGTAATTTTTTTAGTACTTTACTTAGTTTCTCAAAGGCATCTTTCGCTATTTTTATGCATTTTCAGATTTTGTTCCATACTTTCTGTTGTCTACATACTTATCTGATGCCTGGTAGGGTTTATAATTTCTCAGTTGATCGAGGCTGCACTCCTCCCATTGCACTAGAGAGAAGGGATCGGTAGTCGCTACTGTGGCCAGCGCAGTTGACAATTACGAGATCTGGGTAATTTTTGTCCTTGGCCCGGGTGTACGCGCTTGGGATCGCCGACCTTGTGTCACACCACGTCTCAGTGGAGAGACGAAGTAAAGATTACTTGTTTTTTTTGTTTTTGTTTTTAATCATATCACCCCAAGCAAGGCAGTAAAGTCACTAAGACACAAGGGGTAACTGAGTATGAAAGAATAAGAAAAAAGAGAAACATAAATTAAGGAACGAGAACACTAGAAGAGTAATCAAGAATACAGTAGACAACAATTGACGTTGCATTTAAATGTTTGAAGACCAAAGTTGACTGGAAAACATGGAACCGGAAGAGAGTTCTACAAGCGGGAAGTGCGAGAAAATAAACTTGCCAATTCAACTGTGAATTGATGAGACCTTGTCGATAATCTAGTACTTCGCTTAAATTCTAGATACTATAGAGGAAAGTTCATCAGAACAATTACAATGAAAGTATTTATCGAAAAGGCACAGAAATACATTGACATTAGTCAGTGATGTCTTGTTAATAAATAGTCAACGGAGACATACCAAAATTATACATTATTGTAATCACTAGTCTGGTTCTTGATGCCTCCTTTTGTGCTTTTCAATGTCCACAATTGTCTCTGATGTTCTTCAAACCAGGTATTTGTTATTACTTGCGTTGGTTCCAATTTCGAGGAATGGTCTCTAAAATTCTCTCTTCTCCAAATTCATAGACGAATCGTACAGATGCATGCTGAAATTTCATCCTAGCCAATGAAAAGGGACATTTTTCTTTTTTGCCTTGAATTCAGAAGGCTATATCCACTTGACGGTATCCCTTTTGCGTGTTAATACTATTTCTATTTTGTGAACTTTTTTACTTTTTTACTGCCTTATATGGGCTTACGTTGAAGCACCGGTTCTCGTACGATCACCAAAGTTAAGCAACGTCGAACTTAGTCATTACCTAGGTAGGTGACCGCTTAGGAATATCAGGTGCTGTAAGCATGGACGTGTGGGTGTTTAACGGATAACGGCTCGGAATTAGAAATTAAAGAGTCGAGTTCCAATTCCAGTCGGGTTCGTTATATTGACTTACGCGCAAACACCCTTGGGAAAGGCATGGATCCACCTCTTCTCCTCAAGCTATGGGTTAATTAGTAGGACTTTTATTAGTAAATAATTAGTATCTAAAAATAATTCTTACAATCTAAAAATATTTTTTGGCTTTAAATAATTTGTAAAAGGTTGATGAACCGCAAAAAGAAATCAATCAATCAATCAATCAGCCAGTCACTGTCTTATAGATGCTTTGGTTTGGCTTGCAGTACATTGTCTTGTCTTGCATTATTTTGCACTGTTCTTCATATTGTTATGAGAATTTTGTTGATTTCGCTTAATTATGCCTGCTACATCAACAACTTGGTCGTTTGTTGTGCAGTAATGGGCTTTTTTTTCTTTACGCTCGTTGCATGTTCCAAGTCCAAACTTGTCGACTATTTTATTAACTTGTTCCCTTCATACTTTTTCACTTAGGTCCCCCACGATTTAGAAATGCCGTACTAGACTCTAATGCAGTGTTTTTCAACCGGTGCTCACCGGAATCCTAGTTTTCTGCAAGAGGTCACCTGGGGTCCCGCGAGAAACATTGATAAATTGGCTAATGCATTTTTGAGTATTTTTATAAAAAAAATTATATTCGTAATTTTACTATACACGTAAAGCATATTGTTGGAAAATATTTCGTTATTACAATAAAAGGTTCGACCTCTTATATTATTTAAAATTATAGTCATCATAGGGAATGTATTTAGCGATGTCTGTATGTAGTTTTTATGGAATTTTTATGCAGGGTTTCCTTGAGACATTTAATTTGCAAACAAAACATATGTATATTTGGTTTAGGAAAAAATCAAATCCTGAAAAGTGATCAATAATTTAAAGTTCTTTTTTTAATCTTAAAGAATTTTAGAGTAGAGTAGAATTTCTTCTTAACTTGAATAATGTGTCGATCGGGAGAAGGAAAACATATAAACAAAAGGAACACACTATTAGCTTCGATTTAAACAAAATGTTGAGCAAGCATGATCGAAATTGATAAGTTCTTAGAGACTAAGAAAAATTTAATACTAATATTTGGGGAGATCTAAGAAAATAATAATAATAATAATAATAATAATAATAATAATAATAATAATAGTAAGAATAAAAATAAAAATAATACGATGTAGCATTTCATTAATTAGAACGGCTCTCAAGAGAAGCAACAGAAAGTTTTAAAAAGATTTTTTAATCCTAAAGAATTTTAGAGGATAATTCTGAGACACATATTACAGAAAGAGAGCTTGGAGAATTTGACACCCACAATGACATGAATGGCTAGAAGAGAAAGGGGAAACAGTGAGTGACCTGTCTAACGAGCTTGTGTAAATGGCTGGCAGACTATAGACCGGGACAGATAGTTAGGAGACAAACATAGAGGTACGAATGACAGAAAGTTATGGAGAGACATGATCAGACATGTCATGAAGAGCCATGACACATACAAGAAATCGAATTCAGATTGGTGCATCTTAAGTGACAATAACAAAAAGGTTATCCTAAGAGAAGGGAGATAAGAAAAAAATAGGATGGTAGATGAAATTCTCGAGTTAATGAAAAATACAGCGGCGAGTATAGGATGTTAAGATATATGGGGCAGAAAATAAGAGAGGGGGAGATGACTTATGTAGAAACATTAAGTCTTAATTAGAGTTTTGATGCAAATGGATGCCCATTATGGTAAGGATATACACCATATGAATGTTAAAGGAGCTTATTTCTGAATGCTACCATCGACTATGAAATATATATGGAACCGCCAGAAGATTTTGAAGAAAGGGGATAATTATGTATGGAAACTTAAAAAAGTCACTATTTGGACTGAAACAGAGTGGAAGAACATGGAATAATTTAATCCATTGTTATTTAATTAGACAATAATTTCAATCTCCCCAAGTTGACCCATGTCTGTACACGAGGACATTTAATAATGAAATATTAGTAATTCTGGTTATTTGGGTCGAAAATATGTTAATTGCATCAAAGAGTGAGGCCGCTCTATTAAAAATAAAAAATTCTCTAAAAATGAGGTTTAAAATGACCAATTTGGGTCGACTATCATGTTTTCTTGGTATACAGTTCGAATTTAAAGGCAACACTATTACAATGAATCAACCTAGATACATTGAAAGACTCTTATCTAAATTTAACATGCAAAATTGCAAAACAAGAACTACTCCATGTGAAATGGATTTAAACACAATTATGAGTAAGGAAGATGGTATAGCGGCGTGTGAGAAAGAATACAGAACATTGGTCGGAAGTCTTATAATGATGACATCAACCAGGCAGATATCTGCTATACGGTTACTAAGTTGTCCCAACACTTAAATAAACCCGGGACTGTTCATTTAACGAGGGCTAAACAAGTATTACATTATCTAAAGGGAACTAAGAATCGGTGCCTAGTATTTCGAAAAGCAGATAAACAATTGAAATTGGAAGGATTTTGTGATGCTGATTGGGCCAACTCACCAGATCGTAAGAGTATAACTGGCTATTGCTTTAAGCTAGCTGACGGTAACCCAATAATCAGCTGGCAATCGAAGAAACAGGGGATGATTTCACTTTCTACTTGTGAAGCTGAATAATCCAATATTACATCAAAGATCAAAGCATATCAATATAAAATATCAGTTTGTCATGGAACAAGTAGAAAAGAAAACAGTACAAATTGAAGACGTTCAATCGGGAAATAATATGGCGGATTTATTTACAAAAAAAAAAAAACAAAACAAAAAAAAAACAAATTACGAAATTGAAATTACGGGCTTTTCACTTCTGCCATATTTGGTACTGACTTCTTGGGTCTTTATTGGTCCTGGGCAAGACGTAAAACTGCACCCATTAAGTCCCAATAAGGTCCTTATTAGTCCTGGGTAGGACGTAAAACTGCATCCATTAGTTACTGTCCTGAGAAGCGTCAGTTCAGTTTTTGGTATGAATGTAGGTCCTTAGTTTCGGGGTATAAATGTAAATGGTCCTACTTTTAGCCCAATCCACTTTCTAAATGATTCTCGAGATCGCTCTGACCCGGAGTGATAGTAACTGTTTTAATGGGTCCCAGCTATGGGTAAAGTAACAATTCTTTCCACTTTTTTTGTTGTGATCACAATCCAAACTTATAATATTGTTATTCATGTTTTATTAACCCGAAGTACTTAACTGTGAACAAAGTGATATGACTAATTTTTGTGGATATTAATTTTCAAGAAAAAAAAAAAAAAAAAATAAAAATTTGGAATACTAAAGTAGTTGTTACATATTAATATTAAGTTTTTTTTTTAAAAAAAATAATTTTTGGAATTAAAGTATTTACTGACTTTACTAATATTTTGAAGGAAGATTCCATAATATACCCAAAATAAGGTGGGTGTTACAGTTTTTTGTGTATATATGTGACTAGTGACTTAGTCAAAATGACTTAATTTCCTTTATAGTCTACCAATAGAAGGTTGACCAATCAGAAGCCGCAGAACATTGTATCCGTCGTGTATAAAGGCGGCCATCTTTGTTTACCCTACCGAAATGACCAGATTCAACAACAAACGTGACAGACGGAAGAACTACGCTCTGCTACTTTGCTGCGATATCCACTGCGAACCTGCACTACGCTTTCCTACTGTCTCCGAAATATTCACTGCCAACCTCTGGATTCTATACTCGAGGATGACCGTCAGGAATTTGTAACAAAGACATAAGCAATAAATGCATGCAAGCAAAAGATGTATGACTCAACAAGAAATATGCAGAGATGGAAACACTACAGAACAAACATAGCAAGAAATAGCAGGGTAGAAAAAATGCTCCTTGACAGGATATAATATCTGAAAATGGAGCGTTCATAATAGAAAAAGAAAAAATACCACGAAGATGGTAGATAGCTCTTCTATAACAAAAGAAAAAAAAAGAGAGAGATGAGAAACTATCAGTACCTAAAAATACGGAAGCATTTGTTATATTAAAATTTAAGGTCAAGATAAAGAGAAACAAAGCAACAAAACCAAATGGAAATTGCAATAGAAACTCTGTCAGATTAAGATGATTTAGGACACAATAACGTTACCAAAATAATAAATAAAATATGACAGTAGGGCACGTCGATCTTGGAAGCGTAGTATAACACTCACTTTGAAAGTTGAGGCTTGACATGATAAATAATGACAAGATATTTTTTTCAAATCGTTACTGTTTTTTGAGGAAACTAGTGTGAAGGTTAAGTTAACGTTCAAAACCGTAGCATTTCATTCCGGTGATAAGTGAAAGTCTTACAGCATAGCCTTATAAAATTTATACTTTTCTTAACCTTTATAAATTTTATATGAAGAAGATGCATTACACAAGCACATTATTACTAAATTATCGTGTCATCAAATAAGACCTTCATTTACTTCAGAGGGAAATTATACTGAACAATTTAGCTGTATTATGATGTCATGTTATAGAGTGCAGTAGTTTTGGGATGATTCTCAATAAACAATGCAAATTTAAAACATTTTGTCTTATAATTAGCGACCAGCAGTATTATGCTTTTACATACACTTTTATTTATTGTTTTTATTAATTACGATCTAACAAATCTTATTAATTCAGTAGACTTATTTTTAGTAATCTTTTACAAATTTTTTTCCAGTTTTTACTTATCGAATACAGTAAAAGATTTCATATTTTACTTGTGGTGATTGATAATTAGATTAATTTGGTTTGAATATATATTCTATTCAGTGTATCTAATACAAAAAATATCAACTTTTTAAAAAAATTTATTCTTGAAATAGTAAAATTTTAAAATCCCTTTGTAAGCAAAAACCTGCGAAAATTAGATATTTCTGTACAATCTTTAAATGCTCAAACAACCAGTAAAAGCTATGAATCTAATTTTTAGAGTCAGTAATTATCCCATCT